TATAAATAATTAAATAAATAAATAAATAAATAAATAAATAAATAAATAAATAAATAAAAGATGCTTATGGTCATGTACCTACCCATCCTCGGAGATCCTGGGGCTGCTAGTTGGGACGATGCGATATTTTTGGGTGAAAGTTTTTACAACAAGAGCGGGAAACCTTCGCCCGAAAATATCACACCGTCCCGACTAGTAGCCCTAGGCTCTCAGAAGATGATACCTACCAAACACTAGCCGCTGTTTAGGAAAATGAGCCCGCGCTCTACTCCCCGAACTCTTGTCGGATCGGCGTAGTTCGGGTATCGGACCCGAGCGAGCGGCAGAAATCGAGCCTTCCAAACAGGTTGCCTTCTTTAGTCTACCTGATCAGAAGCTGGACGTTTTTGGATATGATCAGTGTTTGAACCTAATGCGTACTGCTGTGAAATAGGTTACTCGTGTAAATTTTATTTCAATTTGAACTCTTTTTTTTTTTTTTGTAACATTTCAGCAATATGCAAGACAAAGACGGGATGGAATTGACGACAGTTGTTATTGCGTAGATTTAATTTTGATTTTTTTTCTCGAGATTTCAGTATTTTTGCCTGATAACAGTTTAATATGTTGATTGCTGAATAAAAAAATGGCTTCAAAGTGGATTGTACCTCGGCTATCTTGAAAGCAAAAATCACAGTCCATTCATTGCAATCGGGTAATCAATATTTTCCTTGGAGAAAATGAGCTTTTATATAACGAAAAAGACCAAAAAGAAAAGCTCAGGTTTCTCGTGATCAATGGAAATGAAGCTTTTTCCTTTAGGGTTTTAGGGCGAAAAAAGGCGAGCGGAGCAAGCCAAGAGTGGTTTTCACGCTCGACTTGCTACCCTCGCTCTTTGTTTTTTTCGCCCTGCAATCCCAGCCTGCTTCGCAAACGGAAATTTACTCGTAAATCGTTAACCCGCCGTAGGTTGCGTCTGGGACACAGGCTATCAGTAACTCGGTAACCCAATTGGAAGGTAGCTTTTTATCTGATCGAGTTTTAACCGTGCAAAGGCACAAATCACCTCTTCTAGAATCCGCAGTTGTCGTATGCATATTTTTCCTTATATCACTGTGACGCGATGCTCAGTTTTGGAAATAAATAGAGGATATTACATGGGTGCGCGTAGATATGGAATTTCTCTTCGAGTGTTCAACTTGACATCGCAGGAGTGAGCGCAGCGAACGAGTGAGATATAAAGTTGAACACGAGGAGAGAAATTCCATATCTACAGGCAGCCATGTATTGTTTTGTTTATTATATAAACGTACGAATGACGACTTGTTTGACTATTTTCCGAAAATTTCCGAAGATTCTCCAAAAGTTGTCCAAAGGCCAGACAAAACGTTTTCGAACATTTTCGAAAATATCCGAAGATTTCCGAAGATAGCCGAAGCTTTCCGAGGAAGAACCGATGATGTTTCGATCATACAGCAACACATCTAAGTACTTTGGGATTATGTAACCATAGCAATGGTGATAATTTCACTTGTGAAAATAACATGGTGTGAAGATATCATGTACGCGCGAAAGTTCACCTGGCATTTCACTGGTGTTTATTGTGGTGTTTTTGTGTGCGGGCTGTAATGCCTGCGAAACGACCCGTCATTTTTCCACACGCGTACGTGAGCACATGTTCCGTGACAGGACCTCTCATATTTTCCAGCACTTACAAAATTCTCAGCAATGCCGCACTTCAATGCTCCAATGACTGTATTAGTATCCTAGATCACGCTTCCACCACCTCCCAGCTTAAGATAAAAGAAGCCATTCATATTCAATGGGAAAAACCTACACTAAATCATCAACTTTATCATGTTAATTTAAAACTTTCTTTGTAATATTTTGCATTGTCATGTTTCCTTTTGTTCTTACAGTCAATTGACATTTTCTGTACTTTGTAATTTGAACAGAAGATGACAGAAGATTCTGTTGAAACATGTTTTTAAAAAACGTTGTGTTGTTTCTCAAAATTTCAACATGTCTGCTACTATCCAGACCTACTGGTGCTTATATAATACAACTGATTAATAATAATTAAAGCATTTAAACATGCATTAGGAAGTGACTTTCACACTTGACCCATCACTTTTCACTTCGGATTATAGACTAGTGATATTGGGCTTGTGCTTTGGAAGAAACAAGGACACTAGGGTAAGGAATGTTGTTTTTGAGCAGTCGTGGTCAGAGTAAATGAGCGTTGTGGTTTTAATCATGATGATGCAGGTCCCTTATGTTCAAAAAAAATGTTCAGAAATGAAACGAGTCAAAGAAAACTTTAAATCTAACTTTTAAATAAGAGAACTATATGCATACATGCAATTACTTCAATTTACATAATAAATAAACTTTTAAATAATTATATAAGATACGTGAATCACGTTTAGGCTTCGACAAACAAAATTTCGCGGAAATGGTGGCACTTTTCGTCAGTCTTCTCTGTCATAAAATATTGCGGGAGCAAAAGTGTAATAGAAAATGCAAAAATTTGCAGTGCCTACTCATTTTCCTTACAAATCATGACGTTGGCAATTTTCAAATGAAATGTCACGGAAAAATGAGATAAACATGACGTCATGCATGACGCAGACCTTTCACTTCCGGTCAGCTGACGCTGTTACAGGTAACGCGGGCTCTTCTGAGTCAACATACAAAAACGCACCCCTTTCGCTTGTGTTCCCTCACAGTTCAGTTCTCTGAATTCTACTTCCCATAAAATTCAAGATGTCTAAAGCTTTCGTCGAGCTTCAAGTAAAAGAGAACAAGGTCGTAGTTTTCTCCAAGACCTACTGTCCTTACTGCAAAAAGGCGAAAGAGGCGTTGTCAAGTACTGGTCTGAAGGACTACGCTCTGGTCGAGTTGGACGAACGAGAGGATGGCGACGAGATTCAAGATATTCTCAAGGGAATCACCGGAGGCAGATCGGTGGGTATTATTTCAGAGGTTTACTTTAGCTTTCGTGCCGAAGAAACAGGTTATAAACTTCATACTGAAACTGGCGATCTCTGGAGGAAAAAACAGGTTTTCGCGAATGAAATTGATAAGAATATTCATTTCAGCGACGCGCGAGTAGCGTTAAACTTTCACCTCATAGGTGCGAGTGCACTCTTTACAAGAAGATTGTTTCCTTTTTTTACTGACTCGTGTAAACTCTAAAAGCTTACCTTCACTCTCAATAAGGCCATTTTAGTGCGTTATTACTGTAAAATGAGATACATCTTCTCAAATAAAGTTGCTAACTCATGGTGATAAATTAATTTTAATGTAAATTAGGTTAAGTAGTATTTAAAAATGTATGATTCAGGAGAGTATGGCAGACCTGATTTTCACTAATGGGATGTTAAAAAATACCTTTTGGGACGCTTTGTTGAATCGTTTGCTTCCGATTTTCAATGTTTGATTTGTCTGGCTCTTGAGAAATTTGGGCGATTTACACCTTCCTACCGAAAAAACACACTTGAAGCTGTTATTTAGGTCGTCACGCAATGGTGCTCCTCACTAGAGCTTGGTCACACCCAGACTGCATTGCTTTCCTTTTGTTTAACGACAACCACTCTGACGGCAAAAAATGACACTTGACATCTAAATGCTGCTAGATCACTTAAATTCTTGAACTAGGATGCCTTTCGAGCTAATATAATATTTTTTCTGATCAGACATGTCTAATTGAGGTAGAACTTTGTTTTTGATGCCAAGAATGTGTCAAACTCGAAGGTCAGCTTTATTCTTAAGATATGTTTGATATTCCTGATGCTTGGGGTCACTATATTAAGACATGTTCATTTGTGTAGTTTGTGCATAATTTTTGGTGGGACCTACTCAAGAATGTTTGACTGAGTGAAGCTCTCGTTGACGAAATTGTGTAAAGGAATTTAAGTTCAGGTTAAGCAGTACTTAGTATGAAGAAGTGTTGCCTGATGAGCCAAGTGATGGCTGCAACGGAGACTGTTGAAACACTCACACAGAACTATGTTAAAGTCCCTGCATGTACTCACCTGAAGGTTTAAATAAAAATGCTTCTCAAACTCATTAATAATTCATCAAGGTTAAAGAAAGGAAATCATGACTGTGACGGTGTTTGGATATCTGATCTCAATTAGCATAGATTTTTATGATTTTATTTCTATGTTTTCTCCTTAGCTTTAGTTTCGGTTGAGAAGATATATCAAAAACTCAAGACAGTGTTCGACCACATTTCCAAACTCCTTGAAGTTGGTCAAAAATACTCCGCTGCGTGTCGTTTTTTCAACTCTCTTCTCAGTGTTTGGAAATGTGGTCAAACACGCTCCTTTTTTTTGTATACCACTTAAAGCTATAACATAATACCATCGCAAAGAAGGCAATGGCACATCAGCATTTTGCCAAAAAAATTGTCTTAAATTAGCGATCTGGTCCAATCATGGAAGGTTGACAATGCAAGGGAAACATAAATTTAAGTAAAAAATGTATATGAAATTACCTTTACCTTCCATCAAATAATGTTTTTACGGTATCAAATACACAGAGAACTGTTAAATACTTCTTTCATTTAAGTCTCTAATTAATTTAGTGAAAACAATAAATAATTATAATTTCAATTTGCAGGTTCCAAGAGTGTTCATTGGGGGCAAGTTTGTTGGAGGGGGAGATGATGTGAAGAAGCTTGCAGACACTGGCAAACTGAAGCCAATGTTGCAGGAAGCTGGAGCCTTGTAAATGAACGATTTCATTTAAAAACAGTGCACAATGCATGGAATGAAAATGCAAAGGATTCAGTAGTTTACTTTGTGTATAAATAATGCATATATAACCAACTTTCATGGAGTAGTTCTTCAAAATTAGTTGTAACAGAGCACACTTAGCAGTTATTTTAAAGACGTACTTGATTAAAAGGTTCATATGATTTCCACAATATGTAGAAATTCTAAACGCAATTTTGAATAAAGAGTGATTTAAAAAATTCTCTCCCTGTGCCGGTTGACTTCCGGCCTTTGTTCAGTCGCTGTTCAAGCAGAACGCGGGCTCTTCCAATCTTGTGTGAACTTCGAAAGATCTTTCGAAAGCAAAAGCGCTGAAAATGTCTGCCTCAAAAATAGACTTTGTAAACGATATAACCAAGTCCAACAAGGTTGCAGTATTCTCAAAAGTCTACTGTCCGTATTGTACGATGGCTAAATCGGCTTTGAAAGAAGCGGGCTTGAAGGAATATTTCTTGATGGAGCTGGACGAAGTGGACGATGGTGCGGCCATCCAAGATGCACTTCAGAAAGTTACCGGCGCGCGGACGGTGGGTTTTATTTAGGTCTTGCAGCTTGTAAAACATTATTTCTCTTTCACTTATAGACTCTTGTTCTGCTTAGACAGGTAAATAACCTAGATATTGCAAAATTCCGGACATGACTTGTGGATTATTTATCGAGGAACTGGAATTTCATTGTGTTAAAAATGTTCAGCTTGCCGGCAAGTCATAAGAGTTGAGGGCCATTCCATTTAATATCCACACCCTCACCCCCCCTCCCCTCTTAATGAGGTGTTTTGTCCAGACCCCTCTAGAAGTTACCCTTTTCCCCGCAGAAATGAGCATCTTTAACGATAGGGCTTTAGAAATTTAGCGTTTTGAGGTACGCCTCATCAGAAAAAGTATATCCCACTAACCCTGTTGATGATGCAACTTTCCCCTTTCCCCTCATAAATTTACTCTTAGTGCTTTACCCCAGGGTGCATTCTGCAAGACTTACACGATACGCCAAGGCCTTCTAATTCCACTCCACAAGACCAGCAGCCAGCATATCTCCCAGTCTCTTTCTTCTCACTTTAAGTCTGCATTTAAAATAATCTCAATTTTCTTTGTATTTTGTTCACTGTGAAAATTTGGGCTCAAATGGATTGTATGAGATGCCCATTATCAGCTAGGATTCAGTACTCAATGTGGGAAATAAAGAGAAGTTTAGAAGTCTTAGTTATCATGTTTATACTCCAGCACCAGCAAATATCAGTAAATTTGAACACCACTAGACGTCAAAAACTCCTATCACACCCCAGTAAGTGGCAACATTTTAAAGGCCATGCTGAAGATCTATGCACCCTGGACTGTAACCCTTCAGAAACTAGACTCTCTCCAAGAGCATATATTTGGGCTCCTTGCAGCAATACCAAATCATATTTTACAAGTACCGGTAAGCTTATTGAACACAATCAAAACAAATAAAAGAACATGGCTTGACTTTCAGGAAAAAACCTTGGGGCCAGCTGGCCCCTAAGTTTTCAGATTTAGTCGCCAGCTAAAGTATTTCAGTGAAAAGTGTGAAAAGTTAGTCGCCAGTGAAAAAAATTTGGTCGCATTGGAAAGCCCAGCAGCAGTCGTAATGTCGAGCTCTGAAGAATTGGGGTATTTTAACACAAGGGTTATGCTTAGTTATTTACTATTAAATTTGCTTTAATAAAAAAAATAACTGAGCATCTTCCAGCCAAGCTACATTCTTCAAACTTGGTGAATACAATCTTCTACCTAGTATTTTAATATTGTGATTAATTAACAAATTGGGTAAAATTCAATTTTGGAAAAAGTTATTTGCCATCGGATTCCCATACAAACTGTAATTTCTGACCGCTTTGCCTACCCGTCAGGATGGCGTTGAAAACTGTGATAAGGTCTATTGTTTTTTTTATCCTTGTTCTTTAAGCCAGTGAGCAGGGTGGGAATGCAGTTCTGTGGGTGTATTCGTTCTAGTAAAAATAATACAATTAACAGTCTGCAGTTTTCAGTGAGTTCAGCATTAATCAGTAGCTGTAGTGGTGAGAGCACTTGCCTCCTACCAGTATGGCTTGGGTTTTTACTGTACATTGGCCTGGTATCATATGTGGTTTGTTGGTTATTGCCTTGTTCTGAGGGTACAAGTCCTCTGGTTTTCCACCCTCTTGAAAAACCAACATTTCTAACCCATACATAGAACAGATTTTCCTTAATTTAAATTATTCATTTCTCTCCATCTCATGTACACAAGTCTCATTTGCAGCCACTTGGGCTGAAATCATGCGGCGCTCCCCATCTCATGGGGCTGCTTCAAACTGACAGATATTTCTTTACCATTGTTTACTATGTCAATTTGAACCAATAAGCTCCTAGTTATTGTATACACTGCACCAATCACATTGTACATTGCAATCTTAATGTTTTCTTTCCCAGAAAAACCCTGATTGGTGGACATTTTTCTTGCAAACCTCTGCAAGGAAATGAAAGTAGGACTGATTGGTTTGTTTCTAAAAAGGCATGGTATATTGGTTTGAACCACCTTTATGGGGACGGAGAGTTTTGTGTGACTTTGGCTGAAGCTGTTGTGAAGGAGACTGCATGCACACAGGACTGAAGTTATTTGTCAGAATGACTTGCCTTTTCTCACTGACGAGATCTCCTAATTTTATTTGATTACTTGAGGTCTTTATGAACCCTCTGCTCAGGAGTCCCACACACAAACATTAGGTCACCCATGACATCTCCCATAGTGACACAATTTTTTTATAACTGACTGATAATTTTTATAATTTCCAGGTTCCCAGGGTGTTTATTGGTGGCAAGTTTGTTGGTGGAGGAAGTGAAGTAAGGGATCTTCAATCTGCTGGAAAACTCACAAAAATGTTACAAGAGGCAGGAGCCCTGTAATTTATGGATCTCTGTCCTATGGCGGTGACAAGCAACAATCATCATAAATTGGATTTAATTACATGTATTTAACGGCACAACATTGACTTGCTCTGGTTCTAAGATCAAAATAGGGGCCTTATGGTACAAAGGGATCAAACATCAGCTCTGTTATCAACCCTGAGGACATAAACCTGTTCTTTCAAAGAATTAATACGGACACACAGTACTCAGCCCCGGAGCTATTACCTATTCCGGAAGGAACTCGTGTCCCCACTCTCAAATAAAGACTTCTTCTTCTTCTTCTTTCTTCTTCTTAAGATTGGACTAGGATTATGAGATTGAGTACAAGTATGATTCTGTAATTTCAAAGCAGTGACATTTCTAGAGACCTCGCTTTTCATATTGGTTTTAGGAAGAGAGGGTAGCCCAAGGGAGCAGATGGGTGTGTGACATGATTCCGTGAAGCTTATGAACTAGAATCAAAAAAGTCATTCTTGTACCCAATCTCATACTCAAATCTAAAGTCCCCTAACTTGCTTTTATGACCCATCATCTATGGATCTCCAAGATAGGTGCAGCTGTACACTTCAACTATTTTTTTAAACACTTTTGTTGCTAAGATCACACATTTTAAAAACTATGCATTGTACAACAATCTGATAACAGATGTTACACAACAGATGTTACACAGGAAATGTTGCACAATCAACTGAACCTTTGTAAGCTTTGTGAGCAAAATACATGACTATACACTGTGACAATACTGTTAATTAAAATGATGTGTCTGTAAAAGTGATAAACGATGCTGTTTTCTAAAATGGAGTTGACATATTCTTTCCTGTTGACTCTTTGCATCTTTTCCCTTAAAGGCGACAAACATTTTATCCTGCCCCCCTTGTGAATGCAAATGAAAAATGGCAGTATGGATTGTTAATTATGGTAGTATTATAGTATTATTGTGAGATTTATTCTAGCAAAGCTTGAACAATACCTCATTCTGTACGTAAAAAAATGTAAACTTAGGTCCCATCCACACTATGCCGGAAGAATTAGTAAATTGAGGTTTTACTCTGAAAATGCATCAAATGTTTTCTGTCTACATTATGCCAGAAGAATTTAAAGGAGGTCACTCGAAAAAGCTTTCTTCTTTTTGTCTTCGTCTATAGCAAGTAAAAATTCAGCTTTTCCACTCGCCAAAGTTTAAGCCTCTGAAGTACCCACTATCCTAAAGAAACTCGTCTTAAAAGAAGTGACTTCGGAGGCCGCCATTTTGGAACTGTCTTGGCAGCCAGACCGTGTTTATGCATCCGACCCTAAATTGGCAGGAAGGAGAAAAACCTGCAATTGACTTGGCTTCCTTCGCAAGGCCAGCAAAATGTATTTTTTCCAAATGATTATCCACTTCACTATCTTCAATGCTTTCATTTCCGAGTTTGGAGCATGTTTGGGTCAAAATAATATGGCTCATGAGCAGCCATAACCTAGAGTGGTAGTTAAAAGGTTTGTCAGAAGCCATTTGGACAAAATCTCTTTGAGGAATGACGTCATGAAAATGTGGCCTGGCTGCCAAGTACTGTTCAAAATGGCAGCAACGATGTTCGAATTTTGGGCTTCTTTGGAGATGAATACCACAAGGAAAATCTGCAATTAAGAGGCTGAAACATCAGTGAGTGGCTAAACTAAGTGCACGGTTTTCAGTAGCATTGTCAAAAAATATACAATTTTTAGAGTGACCTCCTTTAAAAACCCAACAATCAACGGTCATTTGGGATTTGTGTTTGAGGAAAACTGGGCCATGAAAATCACAAATATTGTTACTACATCATTTGTGAAATCTCCATTTTCAAAATGTTTTCCATCCACATGTAAACGAAAAGCCCCATTTTTGTGACGGTTTACTGTGGATGGTAGGAATAACCGTAGAAATAAAGCTGCATTTTCAAATTCCTCTGGCACAGTGTGGACACTGTCTTATCCAAACAATATGTAAATTTGAAGAATACTATAAGCACCTCAGCAGGTACATCTTGATTTTTCTGGGTAGGTACAGTACCGTTACAGTCTTTAATTCCCAGGAGTGGTCAAAATGTAATTTCTCTTTACAATACCAAATGAGTACATTTTGAAGCAGGCTGGTGATAGGAATACAGTCAAACCCCTATTAAGCGGCCACTTATTAAACGGCCACCCCTATTAGATGGCCAGTAATCAAAGTCCCGACGAAGTTTTTACTATTGTCTTCACCTCTCTTAAGCAGCCAGCCCCTTTTAAGCAGCCACTATCCATTTCCCTGAGGGTGGCCGCTAAATTGGAGTGATATTATTTTGATGCAGCATTAAGCTTTTGACAACCGTGCCTACACATAGGAAAGAAATAGTTAATTATTGCCACCTCTCTACAACTTCGTCCTCATCAACCTCAACGTCACCCCAGTCAACACTTTGATCAATTTTTAGGAAATCTGGTGTAGGAGGTATGTCTAATGACACTGCCATCTCCTTTGATTCTGAATCTGTTTTGCAATCATTTTCCTCAGCGTCAAAAGTAACCTTTCTGTCAACTTTAGTGACAAGTTTGGGCAAATTTGCCTTGTGTGCTCGAGATGAATTACTAACATTGTCTTCACCTTCATTTGTTTGCACATTCTCTATGGAGTGACCAAGGTTTGTTGTGTCTTGTATGTCGTCCGCTGGTACACTGGTATCTTTATCATCTCSTGTGATGGGATTATTTGCGCCATCAGCATCGCCACTTGGTAAGTGCTCACTTATTGCTTCACTTTCTTTATGGATGTGTTCATGGACCTTGTCTGTGACGTCTAATTCTTTGTCACCTGTTGGAGGTTCAAGCACATCATTTTCATCTGATGTTGACATTTTTTCTGCAGCCAATCCTTTCTCTTTGTGTGACTCTTTGCTGTCGTTAAGGTTTTCACTTGCTACAGCATCATTTAGTTTCCTTTGTGTTGGTTTCCCTTGAGGTTTAGGAGCATCACTGTGTGGATGATCACTTGTTACTTCAGTGGAAGATTCTTGACTCTTCTGAGAATCTCCGCTGTTGTTTTGCTGGCTATTTGATACAGAATCATTTTCTACTTGTGCATGTTTGGGCTCTCTTTGGGATGTAAGAGCATCTCTTTGTGCATGATCACTCATTGCTTCTTTTGCAATGCAAGAGTTCTCTCTTTCTTGTACAGCGGGTATCTCCTCTTCCCAATCAGTAGTACCAAGACCACCAACTGCACTACTAGGTTGGTTTCTTAATGTATTGTCTGTTTTTGTTTTTGATCCAGATAACTTGTTTTGAATGACTGTCTTTTCACCAGTGTCACCCCAATCTTCAGTTGCCTCAATTTCGTGATCACGATGTTGTGAAAAGCCTTGTCTTGATCCTTGCTCATCTCTTCCACGACCTCTATTATCCATTCTACTACTCCTGTTCTCACTGCCCCAATCTTCAGAGCTATTGCTTTCTTGCCACCTTCTTCTGCCTTCATTGTGATTATCAGCATCACCTTCATACACCCACATCTTCTTTGTTGAATCCCAGATTTTCCTCTGGTCCCACGCACGACTCCAGTTCCCAGCCTTCTTCTGTCGTGCTTTTCTTTCCTCGTCAATTTTCGTTCTTTCCTCTCTCCATTGATAATACTGATGCCTTTCTTTCCCAGACATGGTCATTTCAATGTTACCTTTGCTCCTACCTGATCTAAAACCTTCCTTTCCTCTTTGCATCCGGTTGACAGCCTTATTAAAATTGGCCCCACCCCAAGAGTGTTCATTCCTTCCTGACATTCTTGACATATCGACTCGGCTATCATCTGCCAGGAAACTGCTTGGTGAACTAGAAGTCTTGCCAGTGCTCCTTTGACTTCTGTCTTGTTCTTCTTTTAGAACATTCTCTCTTCTTTTTGCCTCCCATTGTTTAGCTTTGAGAGTTTCTTTGCGCATTTCCTCCAGCATAAGACCTCTTCCTCTTCCTCTTCCTCTCCCTGTGGCAGGACTCTCCTTTACGACTCCAGATACATGTTTCTTTATAACTACCATTTCACTATACCTATTGGCATTTCTGCGATCTTCTTCAATCTCCTGTTGTCTTTTCATCAATTCTTCATTTTTCTTTCTCATCATTCTAATTCTCGCCTCTACTAGTTCTTCTCTCTTTGCCTTATCGTCTGCATTATCTTGAGGCTTGGAGCCAGCTTGCTTGTGATCAATTTCTGATGCCATTTTTCTCAGCGATGAACGTGTATAGCTAGCACAATCTGAAATATTTAAGATGAATATAACTCTTCTTTCAAATCACTTGTAACAGACAGTTTGAAATATTTCCATGGTGAGGTGTATGTAACATCATTAGGCCACCAAAGACCGAAACGAGAAGTGTTCTGCTTTGTCAATACGTTTTCAAGTGCACAACCAAAAGCACAAGCAAAAATCAATGAAATGCACTAGACTAAAAACCGCGCATGGTACGATTGCATCTCAAATTTTATAACCTATATGAGCTCTGTTCTTCTGAATATCTTCGAGCTTTCTAGACGTAAAAAAGCCACTGTACTGTAATAATGAAATTAAGCGACCAAAAGACCTTTTCGATCGCCGTGGACTCTGAAAGCTAACAAAACAATCTATGGCTTGCACGTAAAAAGATTTTACGTGAAATCCCATTGATCATTCCGCGTTTTAACCCTGTATTGAGAATTAAAATGCTGACAAATAGTTCAAATTCAATTAAAATTTCAAAAGTTACCTTTTATAGGCAAAAGAAATCGAATTGATACGTCTCCGATACTCAATAACGACGGCAACAGACCCGACAAAAGAGGAAAACAGACGCCATCTTTGATTATGAGTCTGCATTGTATCAGCGGATGTAGCGCATGCTTATTCTGCAAATAAAACGCGCGAATTCTCAATTGCAAAACCTGCTTCATTTCTCAAGGGGCGCACACAAAGTTTTCGTCTATGTTTTTTGATCAGTTTCTTACAAATACTGTTCGAGTTTAGATGCTTCTGCTGTATGAAAGTTTGCTTGTCTTATTTTACTGATGGCGCGATCGAAGCGCAAGTCTTCAAAATTGTCCACTGCGGCGGAGCCATCAGGTGAGGTGATGTAAACTTGACATTTTTTTGCCAGCGCTGTAAGACAAGCTTGAGCTTATATTTTTAAGCTAAGCTAAGCTTTTTGTTTGAATAAACGGAATATTTAAAAAAGAATAAAGATTGAGAGAAGCGGTACAAATTAATGAAAACACAAATACAGTTATAGTCAACTGTTCAGCGAGTGATTCTGCCAAGTGTTTGCATCAGATGTTCTCTCAGTCTCACTCCTTTAGGTCACGATCACCA